GTATTTGATGGAAAACCGAACAAATCCACAAATCGTTATGTGCTGACACCCTTATAGTAGATATTTGGAACAGTCACGTTCGGGGTCCTAGATAATATTGTCACTGCGACAGCTATAAAATGGAAAAGCCAAGTCAATATATTTATCAACGAAATTCACACCTCGGGGTGTGGAATTCAAAACAACATATCGATTTTACGACGATATTGTATTTTTGGTTTTTGTTTGTTTAAGACAGTGATGGTGATCCAGCAAAATTGCAAGATTGCTCACTGTACTATTATCACATTAGAGTGCAGTTAGTTGGCTGAAAAACAACAACATTATTGAGAAATAGAGCTGACCAAAAGCGGCTACAGTTTATCTGCGATGATCCCAAGTGGTTTTTACCACTACAATAAACTTCAATCGACTTCAATGATTCGTTCACCCAATCGAGATGTTTGCTTAAAATAAATATTAATTAACGATGGAAATATATAATTGTTGTAAACACAAGCCAAGTGTATAAGAAAACTGTTACTTTTGTTTAGCAAGTAAAACCCAATTAGTTTCCGTTTGCAAACAACGCAAATGCTCGACTTGGAATTAATTCCGAACGTGTTCAAATATTTCCAATTAAATTACTATAAATCAAATTTAGCCTGAATTCCGGATGCGAGAAAAGCGTTTCGAATCTAAATAATGTAATTGTCACCTTTAGTCTTGGAATACATACAAAGAGGCGTTATTTGTACTGATTACCTTTGTACTATTGAATGTAATGTACTTGAAAGAACTAAGCCATATACCAATGAGAATACCGAGCAGGACTTACACCGGCGAAAACAGCAATTGACCGAATACAAAGACAATACCTATTTGTTTGTAGACTTTAGGCGACCTTATGATTCTGTCATTAGAAATAGACTTTGGGGTGTAAATAAGGGGACGCGCCTAAATCCCCGACTCTGTTTAACATTAGAGAAATGCTATTGGATCCCAAAGCGAACATGTACAAGAGTCTTTGACAATTGAGAATCAACGGTAAATTTAACTATCTAGAAGTGAATGACAATGAACGTGCCAATAGTCTAATTCATAGAAGGGTAACAGTTGGAAATTAATGTTACTTTTCATTCGTACGAGTGTTTAAGACAAAACTCCTGCCAATAAACTGCAAAATTAGCAAACCATGCAAAACTTTCAACGAGCTATACATACTTGGAGTTCTCAATCCCGAAGGAATGGAAAACGATTCCGGCTGTTGTTCTAACGCGAAACAATGATTGTATCGTCAGAGATACATTTGATTCGTGAAGATTTGAATGAAATACATCTTCCAGTCGAAAACAGCAACGTCAGATGATCAGAAGTCTCTGGAGTTTAACATTTACAAGCTAGATTCTGAATTGCCAAACTCCAGGGAGCCATTACGACGGTTGGTTCAAGATAAAAGCACAGATAAGATAAAACCAGATGGTACACTTCGTCATTTACTGATAAAACATTTAAATATAATATGTTATCAAATAACCTATCGATGATAGCGATCGATAAATTGTGCGATGGTCAATTTTGAAACAATAATTTTTCATAAACAATTTTTTCTACCAGTGTTTTAGTACTCTTGAAAACAAGATGGTTTTGCGGTTTGTTTAAATTTTCAGCAATTATATTGGAGTGCACCATCTGGTTTTATCTGAACCGTGAAAAGAGGTACAATTCCCAAAAAATATTAACACATTTGATTACACATCATTCGACAAATTCTACGGTGATTTTTAATGAAATTCTATAATTAAACGACAGACGTGGCTGCCTTCCAAAATGCCAAAAGTTAAAAAATATCACAATGAGTTCCCGGGTCACGGACACGGCTGAGTGTGAAAAAAATGTAAATAACATTTATCGGTCGAGCAGCAGCGGTTTATAAACATAATATGCATAATGCGTTCCAAGTTAACGATGGCGCATATTATTATCGTTGAGTATATACAGTTCTCGCGATCTAAACAAAAACCCAGGGTATCAGTTTTTTTTCTTCAATTTATAATGATAAAAAGAAAGTGTTTATTTTTTGGCCAAAAAAAAAAGTAAACAGTAAAACGAGGCCGTATTATTATCGTGGCGAGTAAATAAAACAATATGTTTTATTTATGACTACTATGGAAATCGTACCAAATGGCCGTCCAGCATAATCGTTAAAAAATAACTAGAGATAAATAAAAAACCCATAAAACTAGTTATTTTCTTTACTCCGCGGAATAACATTGAATCGTGGATATGCTATCTCTTGTGATTATTCTCTTATCACTTGTCTATTAGCTATTATCTCTTATCACTAACTGAAAGTGAAGTGTAACGCGAAAATGGCGACATGAAATTGCTTGTATCCAGCCCCCAATAACATATCCATGTTTTGCCACAAAGAATCACAATCTACTAATGAAAAACGTTCAAACGAAGAAAATAGAAGAATATTATAAACATATATCATCATCGTGGGTTCACCGTTCGTGATAATGAAAATGTTTAAGGTTAATGGATGATAAACAAACAAAAAATCCCTTCGGAAAAAATATGATTTCTTTGTTCGCGGCCATAGCCGTTAGTAGTTGTGAAATGATTTGTCGAATGGAATGTTGAAAGAAACTGGAAAATACAAACATCAAAGGAAACGAGGGATTGGCAAAAAAAAAGGTTTAATAAAAAGGAATATTTTCTCAATAAATAGCCATTGGAAAAAAACGATTGTTGAAAAAAATATATGTATAAATATATTTACATTAACTGATCAAAATTCAATTATCTTCCATCTCTTATGATGTTCGATTATACATAATCTAGTTTTATCATGATTTAAACGCTCCAATTTCTATAACAGTTTTAAATAAACGTAATTGTGTGATGGAAAACAGAAACGTCTAAATCTCTTTAAAAACCTTTTAAAACCACCCAAGGTCCGAGATGTGTGTGTTAGATGCAAATTCATGGCACCACAATAAAGTGCACGTTTTACTATAACATTATAATATTTAACTTCCGGACAAAGTGATAAAGGCTCTCAATAAGTTTGCAAACTTTAACTCAATTTCTGCATAAACATGTACGGTATATCGCCAACGCTAGCTTTTAAGACAAATCATGTTTTATGTAAAAAAAAAAACTTCTTCCCTTTTGGCTCGCTTCTGTTCTCTATTGGCCTTTTTTTTACTTTTACATTTTAAAGGCACTTTACTTAAACTTATAAGCTCCAGAGCTTCATTGGCGCTTGTTAAAACGTGGGAGTTAGCTTTCAACACATTCTACATCAGTTACAGTAATTTATGTAACTAAAAGCAAACTCGAGATAGTGTATTCTAAAAAAAAAAAATAAATAACAATTCTTAAAAACTGATAGAACAAACGTATTTTTATGAATATATTATTTTGTTTGTTCGAAAGAAAAAAATATATATATAAATACGACTAAAAATAAAATTATAATTGATATTAAAAGGTTTAGGCATCAAGGGACCTATTTTATACTGTTTAAATGGTACTAAAATATTTATCTGCTTTTCCCCTCTATTATTATGGTTGTAATTTAAACCGAGCATAAAAACACAATAAAAAAATGGGATTAAAAACAGACGTCGCTTTATTAATTAATTAAGTTACTTCACTTTTTCGCCAGCAGAGGTTTTTTTCTCCTTCAAAAGTCTTTAAACTCTGTGAAGTCAGAAATATAATATAGTTTGATCCCTCAAAGTATCAACAACAGTACATATTGACTATTATAGATGGGCTATATATAAGATAAAAAATTCGGTCCAACGGTTCCCAAAACAATGTGAAAAACACAAAATAAAAGTACTATAGCAAAATCAATAACCATTCACCTTCGCCCCAAAGAAAAACACAGAAACTCGTCTTATGGGTTCTTTACTTTTTTGTATAATACAAACACACTGTGCTCGCTTCTTAATGGGCTAACTTTTTTGAATTTACCACGCGTTAAGTGAGTGACACTAATTTAATACATTGTTTTCCTCCCCTCGGTGTCGTTGTCAAATAAAGCTTTTCAGTTTCTGACATTTGACAGTGAACATTTTACCGAATCATATTATCAAATATTTCAATCGTAGACAATGTCACAGTTGTCACATAGCTGTTGTATTGTACTAGATTTGAATAACTGGAACACTTGATATTATTACCCAGACCAATAATAATAATTGTGTGTATGTTATTTAGTGTATCCCGAGAGTGCAATTATAACAATTAAAACATTAAGCAAATTATATAAGCGTAGCACTGATTTTAAGTTTTAGGGTTTTTTTTAGAATCCTCTCACGTGCCATTTAGGCATAAGCAGCAATAGAGCATATTTTTCATACTAATGGTAGGTGTACCGTTTGGAAAAGTACAAAACATTGTTATAAAATCACTACACAACGACGACAATGAAATGTTTACCGAATAAATATAGCTGGATGGGTTTTTTTATGACAAGCAATTGTTTGTATTTTAATGAGAGGAATCGCAGTATCGTTTGATGTGTCTCGAAACAAAAGGCCTGCGAATTTACCTTTGTTGAGTTAATCAAATATTCACTCATTAGGCGCAAACGAATAGAGGAAACTGAAGAGGGAAAATAATTGTTTGGACAAGTTTTGGGCAAGTTTAATTTGCATACAAGAGCATTAACAATAACTGGTCTATTATCTTTGAGATTGCCACGTTAGATTAACACTAGTCTTAGGACAGTGTTATTGTTAGGAATATAGACAACGTTCTTGACAAGCTTCATTGACTTGATTACAATGCTCCGCGATAATGTTGAGATTTAACTTATTTTTAGGCCTTCTGCAAAATGTCTCTACTAAAATAATTTACTAAAATGCCCACAAGAAGTCCCTATTCGCTTTTCGCATTGCACAGTTGCAAACACAACATTAAAACAAATATATATTTTTATTTTTATTATTAACAAAATAATAACAACAATAATATACTTGTTTATTGTGTTTCTATAGGTATGCAATACCAAGAATTTGAATACTAACAAGAATCTGAGCACAAACAAACTACAAAACAACTACAAAGGTAATATTTACATGAAGAGTATACATTTTTTTAAAATTCAAATTCGATAACACTGAAAAATGCTTCGCCTTAGAAAAGAAAAGGCCTTATAGTATTATTCTTATTACTTTAATGTTTGTTTATAATGTAGTAAATATATAGGGACCACTAACGTTTGAAGTCCTTTGGGAGTTACTCAAATAAAATCAGTAGGTAAAATCTGATTCATAGTAATACGTATATGCCTGGCCTAACATACAATGACTTTATTTAAGTTCAGTTAACCACGATACATATTTTTATTGCATCGTTGTCGGTCATCATAGCTGTTTATTTTATTTGTTTACTATGTAAAAATACATTGCTTTATTATGTCTAAAAAATGAGTAGGTAGACTGTCTACGTTTTCATTTTCATTCATAATATAAAATAATTGCATAAAAGTTACATTGAAAACAAAAATATATAAAATAAAAACAAACTTTTCATATATATATAAAAAAATGCTTTTATTAATAATTAATTATTCGACGTAAAAAAAAAGTTTTTTTTTTTTTTAATACGAGCATAGCTTCTGGCCGGACTTTAATGAGAAATTCTTTTAATTGGTTTACTTTCCAGTAAAAGTTCAAAATGTAAAATAAGAATAATATAAAATAAACATAATAATAATGATGTAAAATAGTCTAAAACAGGACGCCGTAAGTAATTAATGAAATCACAGTAGCTTAATCCCAACAGAAATCTTGGATTTAAGATCAAGATAAATGTACTGCATTCGACGGCAACTAATCTCAAAGGTTTGCAGTTTGGGTTTAAAGGAACCAAAATTAAGACGGAAAAATTGTTAATCTCCATTACTAAATCAAAGAGCAAGGGTTGGTTTTTTTCAACAACGTTAATTAAACTATTTCTCGAATGAACATAAATATTATGTTTTTCCCCGAAATTGATTTCTCGCCTTTATGACTTTGCAGTTATCCGGCAAAAAATTATAGAAAAGTTTAGAAAACCCACTCGAGAAGCGTTTAATGTTATTAATTATTTCTAGCTAACCGGACGACTAAATCATGCAAAAGTAACAAAATTATCGGTAGTAGATTGTGATGTAATTTTGAAAAAGTATATAAAGCGATGAGCTAACAAGCTAACCAGTGTGACCCCGCAAAAGAAAAAAAATGTCTTCGTTGTTGAGCGGTTGGTATTGCGTATATTATCTTAAAATAAGTTACCACCACTTATCTTGAAATATTATAGTTTTTCTTTTTTTCAAGACGCTATCATCACTGATGTTTTGTCATCACACTCAAGTCCTTTACAACTGCCATAGCCAGCCACCCTATAAATATATATTGTATATATATATAGCCCAAGCAACTTATATAATAGTACAGAAACGACAGTTTAATTGCAAAACTTAATTACACTGGCTTTCTACAAATGCGCGGTTGGCAGTCTCCATATAGAACACTATATAATAACGCTATAGTTAGATTTTCTTATTCCAAGACTGAGGAATTGTAAGAAGGGGTGTGCGGGAGGTGGAATATACTGAATGTACCACACACATTCAGACATTGCTTGTGTCGTGTTTATAGAACATAAAACAACAGTATCGTTTTCGTTATAAGACACAAAAAATACACACAAAACCAAACCGCATAAAGTATTATACGGAAAGGTACACCACGCGATGATAACCGCAAATCAAATTTAATGATCTGCGTGATAAACATCAATCGAGTAATTGTACACAGAGTCTGGAAAATGATTACACCTAAACTTACACAGTGCTTTATGTTGTCGGCCGACTAAAACTTTTGTAGTGTTCGTTTGTCAATGATGACATTTCAATGAAAGCCGTAAAAGCCTTTTAAAAGGGAAGAAAATACTCCTATAGTCACAGCAACGAATCACAATCATACTAATGATGATCAATAGGGGGGAGCTGTTATAATTTCAATAGATATTTTACTTTGTCATATCCGTTTTGTAAACAAATACAAAATACACATAAAATAGTCCGTTCCATAATATAAAAACCGCCGTTTTGCGCTCATTCGCATTTAATTCGTTTGTATATATATATATATAATATGGATAATTCGGATAACCGTTCTATACTCTGACATGATTGATTTAATATGCTGATTACTGATTGACATTTACATGAATACTAATTTGATACGTGCCTTCATTTTAAGTGCCTATCTCTCTCTCTGTATACAATATATAGAAATAACGTTGAAAATACACTATACCACCGTGGCACCGATTACTTTTTAACTCCACGCGGTGCTTTAGAGCTGTAAAAAGGATTAATATAGCATCTCCAATAGAATGTGTAAATCTAATAATAATAATTTATATAAAATCATAAAATGTATTTTCGAAATAGCGATTTGCCATTAAAATACAACTGAACCGTGAGACAGTGTTAATATAGGTGGTTTTTTTTTGTTCCAATAGGAAACAAAAATCAGTGTAGATAATATATATGATATATATATATATATATATATATATATATATATATATATATATATATATATATTGTAAAAGCTTTTGCTAGGCAGGTATTTTACACTATACAAACAAGCCGTGCTTTTTGGGAAACCTGAGGTCGTCGAAGAGATAAAATCGACATACCCGTATTGAGTACCTTCTGTGAAATTCCACCACCGGGTAGTAGTATCTAATGTCAAAGTGACGTGTCTTCAAGATAAACGTGTCAAAATTACTAATTAGATTTCATGCCGAAGAGACACTAAAAAAAAAAAAAAGAAGGAATTCTATTTGAAGCGCAAAAATTCGAGAAAAAAAATTCACTTGGGTATATTCTAATAAAATAGTCAACACAAGCACAATAGTTCTTTGATTATGTTGTCTAATATTCATATGAGTAGACATGCGTAATGGAATAAAAACCGAAACAACAGTAAAGGTCTAAATAATATTAAGAAACCAAAGTTCAGTGGAAAACATGCTTATATAATTTGTTACAACTATAGTGTTCTGGCATAGTTTACTACATCTTAATAATTTTAACCTCGTTATAACAATATTCTTGCCAACTATTGTAACAATCTTATGGGGAAATTAAGGCGACGTTCACAAAGAAATGCCCCTGGCACGTCGTTTATTTTTTATTTACGTTAAATCGCCGTTATTTTCATTATGACAACACAATGGTGTTGTACAAACAATGGAAAACCCCTATATTGAAGGGTAAAAAAAAAAAAAAAAACACCGCGATTGTAATGAATTGGCCGTTTTTTGTTTTCTGATCGAAAATAAAAAAAAATAACACTAATTAAACTTTACACAGCCGAATCATTAATATTGTTATTGTTTTCATAAATGCAGATCAGCACATCTGATGGTCCATTTATTTATGACCTAAATCCAACCGTATTTTTGCATGAAAAATATACATATTTTTTTTTTTAATGGAAAACGCGATTATCATAATATATTTATGTAAGCCAAAATAAACTGTACAGATTTACTTTTTGAAAATCACCTAATCATCATCAGATAACCAACATTGAAAATAACCACAACCATCCACCGTTTGTTAAAATGCATTAATATTATTAGAAAAGACTATAGACACAATTAAACAATACACATTTTTAGAAAAGATTATCTAATTGGTCGCGAGGACATCATCAGTTTGATCAGCATGAAATTGTATAAACTATTGCGTGCAGAAGTTTTACAATATTATTCATCCTATTCTTATCCTATCCATCCTTATCAATCATAATGATTTAAACGATAACTGATTAGTTCATTGTCCGAATTTTGGCTTAAATCTGTGGTCACACTGATTTCATTTTTAACCCTGGCTATCCGCTTTCGTATATAGTCTGTGATAAAACATAAAAAGGTTATTTTCATCAAATAATTTACAGAAAAAAAATGTTTGTACAATTTTGTGTTAAATTATATTTTAATTTCCACTTCCGGCAACTTTAGTCATTAGCTGTTGGTTGGTTTTTGGATTCGGTTGACTTTGTGTAGGCGTGGAATTTAAATTAAGGCGTTTGCATTATTTGCATTATTTAAACTTAGTTTCAAGCAATTAAGATATGCTCGATAATTAAGGAAAATACATCGATACAGATACCTAATAAAATAATATTGTAATTTAAAAAAGAATGGAAAATAAAAACGAACCTGATCAAACAATAATAAGTGGTTAAGCCGATGGTAAAACTGTCACGCTAATGAGATTATTATAAACACGAATAAATCATATTATATAAGTAAAGTAAACTTTGGAAATCTTTTCCAGATGAAAAATATCTTTGCCTTTTTAATGTACATAATGACACTTGGGTATTGAATGGTTTTGCAATTCGCGTATCGACTACAATAATATCAAAACCAGATAGTGTTCTATTAAAGCTATGTGACTGCTGAAAATTTAAACTGACCCATACCTTCCTCGACTCAAAGTCAAGTACCACTAGCAGGAAAAATATTACCTAGTTATTGAATAACATATCATCATAGTAAACAATTTTGTACAATAATTTCATTTTTTTAAATGTGGTCATACTAAATTGAAGAGAGTACTAAGTACACCATTTTGGTTTTATTTAATCTGTGATAACATCACATGTAAGCAAACTTTAATAATCTCAGGTCAGTGTGAGCAAAAAATGAAAAAAAAACGTTCTTTTGTTCTATAGTGTGGTCTAAGAAATGTTATCAACCATCTGTAATCAACTACTTGTTATCAGTAATTCTTATCAGTTAACGTTATTATTGTAAATAGCGTGTACAATATTTTCGGCACTATAATTGGCAGTACTGCATTGAATTTAACAAAACCAATCGAAAATCGTTATTTGAAAATCTATTGTTTTACAATGGAGCGCACACTATCTGGGTGTTTTTAAAATCAGATTTTAAACATTTTTGACCTTAAGATGTTCATTTAAAATTTTTTTTTTTTTAACATAAAATGAGTTTTAAAACTCTATGTTGCTGACACGGTGAAAAGTCGAACG